AAGGCCGTCCAATTCCCCTTGCTGGCCAGCCTGTGGCCCCCAAAGCGAAAACCTGGAAGCAGAGGATGCAAATTCTTGGGTGGTGCAGAAGCACAGACTGAGGTCTGGCGGCGACCCCCGATCCACACACGTCATGGACTGCGCAACAGCTGGTTTCACTTTGATTTCCCGCTCGGCAGCGCGGAAATCCCTTTATTGCCTTGCCGAATCACCCAGTGTCTAGGATTGCAATGTCTAGCCTCTGAAGTAACGACAAGACCAGCGCCGGCCGTGGAGGCTCCTGTATATGCGAGCGCAGTGCTTGTGCATCGCTAGTTTATGGAACCGCGTTCCACAAGGGCCCCATGGACCCCAAGACACCTTCAAACTGACCGCAGGTTCTTCTCGCGGGGCGCATTGAATCGGTTCAACAAGTCTGGTCCTGAGTTTATGCTGACTGATGACGATGTGTAGGTACTACATCAATTTTGGCTGATGATGTTTACAACAGATATAGGCATATAATTGTCCACCTGCCAGTCTTGCACACTGTCGATGCAATATATTCTGCCACGTATATAACTACTACTAGATGCCTGATGGCGCCTAAATAAGGTAGATGGGATTCGATCCATTCCCCAGGATTTATTGTTCAGCAGCCCAGAAGGGCTAAAGCCGGCCTGCGCAGGGGCCGTCCCTGTCATCAACCACTGCATCGACCTGCCTCCCTTACTCGCGTGCAAATGCCTGGCAATGGCACAGAATCTCTCCTTCGGCTCCCTTTTTTTGCATGGCCCTGCGCGCGCAAGTCATGTAAACACTCTATCTCATACCTGTAAGACTTTGCAGTGCATATTTGCACTCGCATGTGTTAAATGGCTCAAGCGGCAGCCCTTGACAAGTGAAAAAAAGAATTCAACTTTTTCCCTCTTTTCCCCGGTCTGCCTGGAAAGAACCGGAGCATCGTCGGTAGCGGCCCAATGGATGGATGGCTGTCCATATAAACGAAACAGCTGGAGGTGCTCATAGAGATGAGTACTACGCCAAGTAATTAAACAAGACAACGCATCGGCCTGTTTAGGCTGTCACAACAACTACGACCCAGTGCTCGGGCTCGTCCCGTTCCACCCGCCCGTCTAGATGCGAGATTGGGTTGAGGTAATGAATGGCCTGCTCTGCTCTGTCACATCTAGCGAATGGAGGCATCAATTACTCCGTTGACACATGCGATAGAATACCTACTGGACCTAGGCACGGCACAGTAGCACTGCTATACACACAGATCCGGTGCATATCCGTCCGTCTGCTCAGTCGCACTAAACACCAAGGAATGCTGTGCAAAGTAGCGCACTCATCATCACCATCTTCATCCTCGCCTTCGCCACTCAAAGGGCCATCAGTTCCTATAAAGCACAGCTGCGCGCACGATGACATTCTCGCAACGCGACTGTGGCCTCAAAACCCCTAACCAAGCAGATGGACATCTCCAGCTTGTAATCACCAGACAAGTCCTTCTATGGTCACTCTGTCGCTTCTCTTTTCCCCTTCTCTGTGACTCTTATCAAGCCCTCTCGCTGACGACCAAGAGACCACACACATCTCTCTTCCACCTATTTTTTTTCTTCTGCAGTGGACACTCTCTCTCACACCCCCAACCAGCACCACGGGCTCTATTGGTGCCGGTCCCCAGCAGGATTCTCCCATCAGCCTCTGCCGCCAGCCTCTCACAGCTCGACACGATAGACGGCCCCCCCTGTTCCATGTTTCCATACTTGTAGGCGCATGCGCCCTAACTGCCTTTTTGCCCCTTGCCGTCCCGCTTTGGAGGGGGGACTTGCAGAAGAGCATCCGTGTGAGCTGGATGCGGGAAAGTCATTCTCTGCTAGTTTTTTCTTTCTTTTTTTTTCTCTAATATCCGGCGAGGATAGCGCGTTATGACTAAGTGTAGAGCACACAAGCTTTTTGTAGCGGGTGTTGGCTTTCTTGTACGCTCTGCTGCTTAATCGTACTCCCTCGAATATCCACCTCCAGTATTGGCAAAGTCAACACAGCATTTTGCTTGGAATCGGATATGGCAGGGTACTTTACCCTCAGAACTAACTGCCTACTACCTACCAACTAAGGTACCCAAGCAAACGTACCAAGTCGTAGCACCAGTCTCAACGTACAGCGATGTAGACCACCAGCATCCCCTCTATTCTTCAGCCACCCTTCTACTCACCCACACATACTAGATCACGACTCCCGATATCCCAGGCCACTCGTACATCCCGTGCACCACTGCATCTAGATACTGGTATTTGCGCATACCCGTAAGCCAATGGTCATGGCGAATTGCTTAGCAGGCCTATCAAGCGTCTAGGCTTCCACACAGCTGACCTTGCCTCCATGTCGTGCCACCAAGGCTCGCCCGCTCCCGAGACATAGGCTGCCGATGTAGTGCAGGTAGTGTGTAACTACATGTACAAGTCCAGGCAGTGGTCGAGTCGGCTTGGAGCCGAAAAGGAGGCCAAGGGCCCCTTCAATGTGGCTTGAACTACAAAGTACTAGAACCACTTGATGTTGCTAACAAGGTGCTCGTGCATGCTGTGTGTTACAGCTTTACGCCGATACCGCCAATATTTCGTAAAAGGCCCAAGCTCAAGACTTGCTTGAGCTTGAGTCTGTGGTGAATAGGTAGCAGCATGTTCTATCCATGTAACCGCCATAACCGCCTCTATGGAATATCCCAAAGCCAGAGAGAAAATCGACATTCTCAAGAAGGCGATCTCTGCCAATCCAACATGATCATCAGTTATGTCATATCCTCCCGGGCCACTGCCTGATCAACCGCAAGGATGCATTGATCTCACCTTCGCCACAACTTATACGCGATAGCCGTCTTCCTATTCAAGCAGGTATGCTATCATTGGAAATCTATCTATGGAATATTCAAGACCCGTATCTTCATTGCAGGAGGTATCCCCATCCATTCCAAGGTAGCTCAAATAGCCTCTTTGCAGCTCATCTATACCTATTCAGCCGCCGATCCCTACACGCCATGTCCTTCCCGGCTAGATATTCAAACAATTAGACAAAAAAAAAAAAAAAAAAAAAAAGTCCGCGTAAATACACGCCTTTAGAAGAAAACAGAAAACCAAACGCCCTCCCCCAGCAGTTTCATCTCACAAGACCCCTACTCGAGCTCTACCTGTACTATAGTCGTCTCCAGTTCTCCATAGTATCCCTACAGCTCTTTCGACTAGCCGCCCTCCTTCTTCACCGCCTTACGATTCAGAGTAACGCCCGCATGGCCATACTCTGCACCTTCACGTAGCAAACCTTTACCAAAATGAGAAACAATAACGACCACAGACCCCAAAGTAAAAAAAACCACGCTCTCAAAGAAGAAAAACAGCAGTGGCCCGTGATCGCAGGTTGGGCATCAATCGTGCCTACTGAGATAACCTTACATGCACACACGCACTTTGACAGACAGCCCTCTCCACCCGCAAAAGAGCTCAGAAGACCACATACAAAGTGGAGCCAGAGGACGACGTCTTTTGGAACAAACAAAAAAGATGACTAAAAGACTGAACCATCGAAGCAGAGCAGAACAAGGTCATTGCTTTTTTGCTCTCCATTGATGAACCAACTGGCATGCAACAAGCGGTCAGGTAGTATCAAACTGTTAATTCAAAGAGGCATCGAGAATAAACAGCAACACACGCCGTACGCGAAGCATTAATGTGTAGGTAGAGGCTTTGCTAATTGCAGATGTCCGTCTTGCTTCATGTTGGCACTATTGGACTCCATACTGCCGGTATATCGTACAGTATGCGCCATCTATGGAGATCGCATTATGCATTTCGTCGAGTCAAGCCTCTACAGCTTACACCCTCCCCTTGTCTTTTGATATGTGGATAATGCTACGTAGACGTACGCACTTCGTTAAACGGCTACGCTTCGTACGTTCTCGTACATGCACGCGTTCACTACCTTGCTCTCTCGCTTGTGTAGATGCTAATGCAATGTAATGTACACGGGACCATCCTAAAATAACAGGGAGGCCAAGAACGGTGACGGTGACGATGCGTCCTCTCTCTCATCGGCTAGTTCTAATTCTTGAGTCTGTATCCATTCTTCTCCATGCTAGAGACGTCAAGAACCGCTGCCGGCTGCAGAAGACGTAGAAATATGCATGCAAGCAAATCTACATCTTCAAGGATTCTACCGACAAATTGACTTATGATATGGTAGTATTTAGGTATAGATGGTATATATATTCACCGTATATCAAATTAAATCGAGATGCCTATCCAAAGAAGAAATAACAGGGTTAAATATAAAAAAAAAGGAGTCCCCTCTCCCAACATCAACTTCCGCCAAAGAAGAAAACAGCCTACATATGTGATTGTCCATACCTCGTATGTGTACAAATAAACGCAACGTATGTTTATCTCCTTGGGTTTCGTTTCCAGCAACATCTTTCATCAATCAAATAGTCCAATGAAACAAAACGGGGCTCATCATCCTTTGGCGGTGAGGGCTAGGTACTCCCATGTAATATATCTAATAAATAATGGTTATAAAAAACAAATGGAAAAAAAGATCGTACATATATAAAATGAAAAAGAAGCAGACAAGGTTGTGTCATATATCGATCTGTTTGCAAGTCATGTGCTTGTCGTTGTTCATCATCGTTCGTCTGCTGCCCAAGGGTTCTTCTAATGAGGTGAAAAGGGTATCCAAGCCGCTTTCGCCTGCCAGTCTTGCCACTGCGTCGTTGATGTCGTCATTTGCCGTTGCGTTATCATCCCGAAGGTTTGAAAAAAAGAAGCCAATCATACTGATCTTTAAGTGTAAAGATATTATCCGTTGCATATCGAAGTAGTTGGTGCACTCCCAAGAAGACGCCTGTCCGAATTTCCCCCCAAAAAAGAGATTGTGAACCCACGTTTATTTTATTTTTTTCGGCAAAAAAGTCATCAAATGCCACTCTGGCTCATTCTGTTCATCTTTTCTCTTCTTCCATCATCGCCCTACTCGGGGATTGCAGGGCTGGCTGGAACTTCGTCCTTCTTTCCACCCCAGCTCCAGCCCGATATCCAGCTTTGCCGCTTGTTGGCGTTGTTGTCTTTGACGGCATCTGGGTTCTCCTGGACAAGTCTCAGCGGACGCGGCTTGCTACCAGTGAACGTTGTCTGCTTGTCGGACTGGGATCGTGGTGGTGATTGTGATGGCGGCGTGGAAATCTCGCCAGACTCGCCGCTCAGGCTGGACGTCTCACTTCTTTCGCCCCTCGTACCCGGGAAGCTTCCGGATGAAGGAGCCTGGCTGCCGCTGGCAATTCGTCCGGGAGTGCCAATTACGCCGGCAGTTGGGAAGAAGGCACTTGAATGCCTTTTGTTGGCAAGCGGCGGCGAGGCAGGGCTGTCTGGGCCCCTGTACATCTGACTAACTAGGCTTGCCGCTCCTGGGAATTGGTCGCTCGCAGGTCGCGAACGCCGGTTAACCCGGCCCAAACCAATGGGAATGCTTGGGGCCTTGTCGGGATCAGTGTGGTCCAATACGTTGCCATCGGATGTTTGAATGATGGAGAATGGCCGAGGCTTTGTCCTCCCTGCCATGATGGGCGCCGTTCTGGTTCGCTGGAGGGGAAACTGTCCGCTTGAGAGCCTTTTCTCACTTTTCTCACTTTTTTCACTTTTCTCAGCTGGCGGCGGTGGTGGTGGTAGCTCCTTATCTTTTTCGGGCAGCGGGGGTTTCATATTTGCTGATTGATCCAGAATCGTCTCAAAGTCCTGGTGCTGGAGGAGGCGCTCGATGATATTGTTGATATACAGTGAGAGAGCCTTGTTCTTCTCTTTCAGCGCCTTGAGTTCGCTCTCGAGACGGCGATTGTCAACGCCAGTATCAGGCTCAGACTGCGATGCGTCGTCCAGCTCATCGGCAAGACTGTTGCCGGCTGTCTTGCCTTCCAGGGCATCCAGCGCCTCGTGGTTCACGCTGGGGTTCATGTAGCTAAAATCGCTCTGGCCAAAGTCTCCCTTGAGAGTCTTTTCCTGGAGGAGCAGTTGATAGCTTTCGTTGTCTTCCATGAGTCGTGCGTTGGCCATGCGCGCCTCCATTAACAGGCGCTCAACTTCGCGCAATCTGCCTCCGCCCTGGTTTTCGGTTTCCACCAGTTTGATCTGGGCTTCTGCAAGCTCCAAGCGCAGCGATTCGATGAGCTTGTCTTTCTGTAGAATTAGCTTGGAGCTGTTTCGTGAATCGCTTCGCTGAAGAGAAGAAGGTGGGGCAAAGCTGCTGCCGTCAAGGGAGGGTGAACCGCTAGTCGCTGTAGACACTTCAAATTAGCGGACGAACAAAGGACAACTTCAGTTAGACATTGCTTACATTGCCTCGACGGTCTCGGGTCGTCTTCAACGCTCAATTTCTGGGCCAAGCTCTCCTTGAGTCGCGCAATCACCATCTGCATCTCCTCCTCCTTGTTTGCCATTTCCTCCTTCTCCTTGAGGATCGCGCTTCGCTCGGCCTCGTAGATGGTCTCCATCTCTCTAATCTTGCGAGTGGCTTCCCGCTTCTCGTTTCGTAATGTCTCGAGGAGCTCATCGTGCTCGTGAACCTTCTCTTCGAGCTTGGCCGACTCCTTAACCGAGTCGTCCAGCTTGGACTGGAGGACCTCCGACTGCCTCCTATACTGCTCCGACTGCTTTTCCTCCTTTTCCAGGCGCTGCTGGAGGTCTTCCAGCGCAGCGGCCTGGGCGGCGCGGGCGTCGGAGTCAACGGTGCTCATAACTGATTCTCGTCTGCTGGCAACGGCGGCGCGGGCAGAGACAGGAGCGGCGCGAACGGATCTCGTTCGCGAGTGCTGTCCGGCGGGGGGCGTTGAGGATCGCAGAGATTGGGTTCGCGTGTGGGAGGAGTTTGGAGGAGACGTGCCCTCTGAATTTGTGACTCGGCCGACTGCGCTGACCTGCGGCTTCTTTGCAACCGTAGACATGGCGCTGAGTGCGGGCTAGTTTGTCGAGTCCAATAACACCTTCCCTCGAGGTCGGTGAGCTACTCTAGTTGAAACGCTCAAACGGGGGCCACTAGGCGCAAGGCCACGCAGGTTGGACGGCAGGAATTTTTATGCTTGGAGTCTGAACGATCGTCTTGTAGTTCACTCGAGTTCGGCGCCGTTGGTGAAGAGGAGTTACAGACTATTAGGAGGGATGGCAGGCCACGAGGGTTTGGTCGCTTTGGTTGGGCTCCACCTCGCTGGCCGGCAATTTAAAGGGCATGGAGAGTTGGGGAGCAGGAAAAGATACATCCGCAAAGGGGCGAGCGCCTTACTAGGGGCAGGTACCCGTACACAAGGAGTACTTTCACATACAGTACATGTGCCTTGCTTTGTGCTGCCTCTCTCTAAGCCATTCGGCGGTAAAAGCCAACAATGCGGTGACGGAAGCGGCATGAATCCTTCAACTCTCAGCCACCAATTTTTGAGTGTTCATTCTTCTACAAACCCTCTGCTTTAGCTACTGTTTCTGTGCTGTTCCTGTCTTCTCTGCTCGTAAAGGAGGCGTCCAGGTAATTGTGACGGAGTTCCTCTTCATGCCTCTGCTTAACAGTGCATGACTCTGGATCAGTGCCCTGCGTCTTCATATCGGGACGGGTGCCTGATTGGCCGTCCGGAACCACTAAAGGACCCCTGGGGCCTCTCCACCCCCACTGCTGGACGCTGCTAGAACCTCTGCTGCTCCCCTCTTTGTGCCCTCTGTCCCTCCCCTAAAACTTGTGTCGCGGCGGACGCAGTGCAGCGCTTCGCCCTCTCCGGTGGCCGCGGTCCAAGCCTGTCGCCTGTCTGTGACTGACCGCTTCTCTGCGCTCAAGACATGGAAAACAGCGCAGTCCCTTTTCTGGAAAAATGAAAACCCTTGGACGAAATAGTACTAGTAGCTGTCTTGCTTTGTCACGTTTGCCTACTTGGTACCTTTCAGATGAACAAACAGAACACAGAGTCTTGCTGTTTGTTCCCGTCATTGTCTCAAATTTTGTGCCCAAAGCGTTCAAACACAGTGAGGCGCGACTGAAAACAGTCACTGCAAAGTACAGGTACAGAAACAGAGTACATTCAGCGACCAGAGAAGGCTGTGGTTGCTATAATTAACAATAGGGCTTCTGCTGAGCCTTGTGGTGGCAAAAAAGTCATGTGTGCCAGCAGATCAGCACTTAAACAGTGCTGCGTGCCTGAATACCCCCGGAGATGACATAGAGAGCAATGAGATTTGAGATACACTTTGGCTGAAGCGTCACTGCTTGCATATGAGCACTATTTCTCTTTTTGAAAGCCAATAGCTAAGCAGTTTTAGACCTCGTAACTCTCACAAGGCGTCGTACAAGTTGCAGCCACAAGCCACTGTGCCACTATTTTGGCTGAACTTCGTAACCAGACTTGTATGACGAGCAATAGAATAAAAAATGACAAAGTTTTTGTAGAACAAGTGTTTGAAGCGTTTAGGCATGCAATGCAGGGGCACATGCAGCAGCAATCTGTAGTAGCACGAGTGGCATATGCGTGGCATCTTTCTGTTGTTATTTTGAGGCTATTCCCCAGAGCCACGGCCAGGTTCATCTATTCAGCCAGGCTGCTTATAATCGGGTCAACTGCGAAGTTTCCGCTTCGCGTAAACATCTAGGTCTACATGTACTGTTTGGCATTCGCTTCGAATTCAGAGAATAGATGCGAACAGTTACTGCCAAAGCAGCTCTATAGATTAATGTGCATGTCGCATAGCAGAGGCAGTGTAACAGTTCGCAGATTTACAGCATATAACAGTGTCACTGTTATTCAAGGCAATACATGGCATCACAAATGAGTAGCAACAGTTTTTTCAACGTGACAGGGGAACAGTCTTCATGGCTGTATTATTCCATTGAGATAACTATCACTTGGAAGCTCTTGATTTTTGCTTTCATGTCCAGAGGACGTTGCTTCGTAGTAGATGTCTCGCATCAAAAATTTTCGCTTTACACATCACGTGAAAGTGAAATGGTATCCATATTGCCCGTGAACCGTTTTACCCCCAACGCCGTTGAATGCACAAGATGTTGGCTATTTAAGCCTGCTGGTCGCTGAGGATATCAGAGTCACCGGCATCCAGGATGGCGAGGGTGGAGCAGCGGAAGAGCTTTCCGCAGGCAGTGCCGAGCTCGATCTGTATTACGAAGATGTGTAAGCCAATGTGAACCCTCCAAAGTCTGATAAAGACTTCTTCTCTGGGCAATTCCACAAGAATTGGAAAATAATTCTATGTGGCAGCAAGAGTAGCTTCTGAGAAGCGAGAAGTAAATGGCACAAGTGTGCCCTGTTTCCAGGGCCTCTCACTTGTTGATATTGCATCAGGTTACAAAACTTACGTTGTTGCCAGAGAAGTGGTGGATGGGAGCCTTGGACAGCATGCTGTAGTACTCGAGTTCACTCTTTCTCAGGGGAGGAGTGTTGCCAGCGATGATGATCAGCTTGGCCTTGCCGGATCGGAGAGACTTGAGGGTAGACTTGTATCCGAGGGTGACTGGCAAAAACTCATGTTAGCATAATCTGCATCGAGATTTCGAAAAGTTCAGTTTCCTGAGAATCTGGCAGCGTACCCTTTCCGGACTTCATAACAAGCGCCAACTTGGAGTTGATGCTGTTGGCATCCTTCTTGCTCTTCTTTTGGGGGGCCATTGTGATTAAATTTGGGCGCGAGCGACGATCTTGCGACTTGATTGATGCGGTTGCTGAAGACACACTGAGCTCTCAAAAGTTCGTGGGTTTGCAGTTTTCTTTTAGGATGCACCAATTTTCAGTGGGGCAGGGCTCTGCCACACTCCGCCAATCAACACAGACTTGCCGTTTTGGTAAGCCCTAAAGTGCCGAAGATTAAACGAAACACCATCCGCAGTGGCCAAAGTTGCTTTGAAATCAATCCCGTCGATTTCACTGAAGTGGCTCCGGGAATCCTTGTGTTGGAATTATCTTCCCCCAAACATCATCACCAACATCCCAAGGTAATCAACGAATACCGACAAAATGGCTCGCCGTCCCGCTCGTTGCTACCGATACTGCAAGAACAAGGTACGTTGCTTGAATTTCACGACTTTTCGATGCGCAAATGGTTATTTCGAGCTTGGGAAGATTTTCTGGAAGGAAAAATTATGGAGTGACGCAAGAGGTGGATTATAAATTACCAGAGATGAAGCATTCTTGATGGATGCGCTCGGTCGCTGCCTCCAGCTCTATGTTTCTAATACATCATGGGCCATCTACATTCATCTCTTTCTTCTTCATGATGAACTGTGCTAACATTCTCTTGCGCTATCCAGCCGTATCCCAAGTCCCGGTTCAACCGTGGTGTCCCCGACCCCAAGATCCGTATCTTCGATCTGGGCCGTAAGCGCGCCAACGTCGACGACTTCCCTCTCTGCATTCACCTCGTCTCCAACGAGTATGAGCAGCTGAGCTCCGAGGCCCTCGAGGCCGCCCGTATTTGCGCCAACAAGTACCTCGTCAAGCACACCGGAAAGGAAGGTTTCCACCTGCGTGTCCGCGCTCACCCTTACCACGTCGTCCGTATCAACAAGATGTTGTCTTGCGCTGGTGCCGATAGACTGCAGACCGGTATGCGTGGTGCCTGGGGCAAGCCCAACGGAACTGTCGCCCGTGTCAACATTGGTCAGATCATCATGAGCGTCCGCACTCGTGACTCTAGTATGTGATATTCTATTCTGGTCAACTATGATGACATCTGCTAACAACCATCTTTCCAGACCGTGCTCTGGCTCTTGAGGCTCTCCGACGATCCCAGTACAAGTTCCCTGGTCGCCAGAAGATCATCATCTCCAAGAACTGGGGTTTCACCCCTCTCCGCCGCGAGGACTACCTCGAGCGCAAGGCTGCCGGCCGTGTCAAGGTCGACGGTGCTTACGTTCAGTTCCTCGCCAACTACGGTTCCATTGAGAACAACATTCGCCGTTTCCCCGACGCTTTCTCGTCCGAGGCGTAAAATGTTTCTTCTTCACATGGCATCTGGGTTTTTAGGTTGGCGTAATTATGGCACTGTCAGATAAGAGATTTCTCGATTTGAGAATCATCAGTTAGGCAATTCAAACCATTGTGCGTTCAGCACTATACCCGCTGTCTCCTACCATGTACAGAAATGTTGATTCTTTTCGTTCGCTATGTTGAGATAACCCATGAAATGACTCATTTTGCCATCTATCTGCTGAATAAACCCATCCCTTGTCGTTAAAAAGGGGCAATCTTAAGTTGATTTGTAAGTACTTGTACGAGTACTTTGACAGAGCTGCGCCCAGTCTGCAGACACCAGGTACTGTATAACGGCGTTGGAGCCAGAAGCTTACCTTACAGGTACCTAGCATCAGCCACTGCCATAATGGGTGTCTTAGCAAATGCCGTTCTATGCCAGGAACAGATGGTTGCCTCATGCTATCCGAGATCCGGGCCTGGCGCTGGCAGGTTATGACGAGACCACCTGACTTGAGTCAGTGACAACTATGGTCACAGAATCACGGTGGATGAGGATGCCCAAAGAGCTTTTGTTGGGAATGCACCGTTTAAGAGGATTTCATCGGTGGCACACTACCTGTTTCTTCATGTATCAAGTCTTTCTTTACAACGAAGCACTGTATCATTCTGTATCTGCCCTGAGACACAAAGAGACAACGGGAGCACAATGAGATTGCACAATACGGATGGGATGGCACACGCACCCATCTACTAATTTGATGGTTGGTGGGGGAGAAAACGTCCATGACGCAGGGTCCTTTTCTTTTCTTCCCTTTCTTCTCCCAAGCGGCACAGAAAGGCGTCACCAAAGGGACCCCGAACGTCAGATAGGGCCGCCTCTGCTGATAAGCAGCTCCGCCAACGTGCCGCAAACACCGAAGTATGCACGAGTTGCTGAGTCTTGAGTGCGCGCATTACGTCGTGCATATAGGTATAAGGAACGGGCG